GCAATGGTACCTTGCATCCCTCACGCCCCTCACACCCCTCACACCCCTACCACCATGCAGCTCTAGCCCAAAGATCTTCCTTGTCTCTCTTCTTTCTCAAATCAGTCTCTGTTCCACCTTCAGGAAAAGGATTTTCCATGGGAGCCTTCCTTATCAGACTTGTTTCACGACAAAGGCATAACCATGAAAAGCTGCTCCCAATCAGGTGATTGACGAACTTGTTTGGTTCAGTGTCGACAATGTTTGGGAGCTGCAGAGTGAGCTAGGTGATGAGTCCTAGGGGTCATGAAGGCCCTAGGCTCAGTGGATCCTAACACAAGAAAGGAGAGTGGAAAGGAGGAAGTGGGAGAGAAAAGAAGAAAGAAGGAGGGAAGAAGGGAGGGAGGAAAGAAGGGAAGGAGGGATAGAGAGAAGGGTTGGCTTCCATTTATTCATTGGACTTCTGTTTTGTTCTAAAATGAATATTTGTATGAAGAGCACATGTACACTCTACAGTTTACACAGGGTGCCACCACCCCCTCTATTGTCTCAGCCTTGCTTGCTTAAGACAGCTCTATTCCCTGCCTGTCTCTTTAAGTAAATGGTTATGTCGCCCCTGATGAAATACAGTTGTGTAATGTGTTGTAAATTGGTATTGACACCACCGTAAATGTCAGCGTCTTGAGCTTTTGGCCTATGACTGAGATATATGCATACCTCTTTTGGACTCTGAGACAACCTTTGCTTACACATACTCTCACCCACACACTGACCACCCACACATACATATAATTAAAGGTGAAAAACAAATCTTTAAATTTTTGAACTACTTGGTGGAGTTCACTGGAGAAATGACTCAGTGATTAAGAGCACTGGCTGCTCTTCCAGAGGACCCGAGTTTGATTCCCAGCACCTACAGGGGTGGTTCACATCTGTCTGTAACTCTAATTCCAAGGGATCTGATGCCCTCTCCTGGCCTCTGTGGGTAGTAGGCACACATGTGGTACATAGGCACACATGCAGGCAAAACATCTATAAACATGGAATAAAAACAAAATCATAAAATTTCTTGGACCTGCATGGCTTTGAGGTTGACCTTTCTGGGATGATGGGGAATGAGGAAAATGACAGGTGCTGAGGTTGGGCGGGTCGTGTGCTCCAATGGATAGCACCAGCAGCTGGAATCGAATCTCTGGGCACAGCATTCACAGCTGAGCTAGGAGGCAGGCTAGCCCGTCTCAATAGAGTCTTTGTAGGAGCGCAGTCTCAGGTCTCAGTCAAGCTGAAGGACAAGGTCTCCTTGATATTCCCCATGCACTGCTTGGACCAGGGACCAGGTTAAAGCTTTGCTGTTCTTCTGAGCCTGATCTGGGGAAGGCCTTATCAGTCTCATGGATCCAAGGCACTGGATCCTTAACACAGTAGTGCTTGTATCAATGATACACAGTGACTTGGGACCTCATCTGTTCCCCGCATAAACACAGTATTCTGGGGATAGTTTCATCCTTCCAGTCCCTGTACTTGGTTGTTCTTTTGGTTTGTTTGTTTTTTCAAGACAGGGCTTCACTGTGTAACGGCTCTGGCTGTGCTGAAACTCGATTTGTAGACTAGGCTGGCCTTGAACGCGGAGATCTGCCTGCTTCTGTCTCTCCAGTGCTGGGATGCTCCGCCCACTGCCCAGTTGTCCTTACACTTGCTCATTGTCAAGTAAATATCATTTTGTATTTGCCAACATTTCATTATTCATTTTGCTAAAGTAAAAAAAAATTCTTACATTATCATAATGTAGAAGAAAAAAATTAGACTTGGGGGGAAAAAGCACAATGTAACAGATAATTAAAATTTGATTGAATTCATTCATTCCCAGAAATGCATTCACAATAGACTGTTTCAAATTGTGCTTTCTTTGCAGTTACTGAAATGAATCCTCATTTGTACTTTTGAGCAAATGATCTGATTTCTGCTCATTTTAAATGTCTGTTACTTTAAAGCAATTTCATCTTGCTATGATTGCATCTGGGAGCATTTGACTATAATAATGAAATGAAAGGATTGTTAATGCCAACATTTACTTAAATTGACTCTATATCTCCTTATTTAATTTAACTTTCTGGATTAAAAAATGTTCACGATTAAGGCAAAGGTATACTTAATACTGCATATTTCTATAAATGTTTTTAGAGTATTGGAAAATGACTTCAATTATTCATTAAATCCTTTATTGCCCGAATTTTGTTATTTTTGTGGTTAATTTGTTTGTGTGTGTATATATATAAAGTGTGCACAATGTTTATGCTCCTCTGTGTGGGTGTGGGCATGGCTGTGTCGTAGCATACATGCAGTGGTCAGAGGACACCCTTGGGTGCTGGTCTCAGCTTTCTACCTTTGGTGTGGCACCATCTCCTTATTTGTTTGCTGTTGTTGCTGCCTAATTTTCCCACTGCTTAGAAAGCCAGGCTAGTTAGTTAGCCCTTGAGCTGCGGGGATTCAGCCGGGAACATGAACTTCTCTCTTAGAAACTGCTCAGAGGCCAACGTCTCCCCTGATCCATAAACCCTGGGCATTGAGAGAATTCTTGTTAGCCAAATGTCCCCAGCACAGATTAGTCCATTTATGCTTAGACCAAATCCCCTCCCACCTTCCCATCAGAAGGTGACCTAGACTTGAATCAAAGATCGGCTTCTTATAAAGATGGCTTTTCAGACTATCATGACCCTTCATGCTAACCTCCAAGGGCTGGCGTGTGGCTATGTAGAGGTGGCAGGCTCAATTAATCATTAATGCCAGATCTGCACCTCCTGTTACTTATCTCTGCCGCGCGGCTGCTTTCATGCTGAGGGCTAGTGTGAGTGTTCGCCAGGAAGCTGATGCAGAAGTTAACAGGGGCCGTGTGGGATATGGTGGGATTTCCTTTTTGTCTCTTTCTCCCCTCTTTTCCTCCTTATCCCTTTTAGTATCCCAGGGGCTCAAGGCAATCTCTCATAAAATAAAGAGGGGGAGCCTTGGTGAGCCCATTAGTACATTGAAATGAGAAGGCGATGGCTTGTCTGAGGAACGCTTCACTCTTTTCAGAAAGCAAAGACTTATAGCTTTCTCCCACAAACTCACAGCGAGGAGACGCCAGCCCCCAGCAGCACTGTTGTATCGGGGCAGTGAGCAAAACTTTAGGGTCACAGCTGGCATAGCTAACTGGTGTTAAAGATCATGAAGTCAAACCCAGGGTACCGTGCGGCATAGGGTGATAAGAAGGCGCTAGCTAGAGAGAAGGGATGTCTTTAGTCGATCCTGTAGGGATGACATAGACACCTCAGAAAAGGTAAAAAGGGCTCTGAACTGCTTTGGGGGTCAGTACTCATGACCAATTAGTTCTGAGTTGGTCTCATCTCTGACACTAAACATCATAGGCACAGATGCACACAAACACACACACAGCAATTATATATGAAGCTGAGGTTATGTTCAAATACTGGGAGATCATAGCTCAGCATAAAAACCTAAATTTTCTGTGGAACACTTTTTTTTAAAAAATGAATTATTTTGGGTTTTTTTAATGAATATCTAGAATCTCAAAGTTGTCATAGCCCATACAAGACTCCATTAGCTCCTTCAAAGAGAAAGGAAAAGAGAAAGGAAGGGAAAGAGGAGAGAGGAGAGGAAAGGAAAGGAGGAAAGAGGTAAGGGAAAGAGGGAAAGGCAGGGCAGGCACTCAGGTTTAGACACTGTCTTGTTGGTGGTCAGGGCATACAATTAGCACTCTTTTAATAACTGGTCCCATCCCAGCATGCAAGGAGCAACTGTCCATGAATCAGGGAGTAAATGTATAAAATCTGTGTTTGAAGCCTGCCTACAACTATCTTCTTGGATTATATTTACAGGGAAATCTAACCGTGTATTTCAGGTCCAACACCAGAGGCCAGGACTATGTATTCACACCAACCACTCAAGAAATGTGAGGCCCTCCTTTACAGCAAGCAGACAGGCTCCCTGTCCCCAGACTCATTCACCCATATACAAAATCACCATCTTTAAGGGGACTCCTCTGCGTCTATGAAGGCGTTGCTGAAAAAGCTGATTCTTAGGCCCACTCTGCTTCTGGCATCCAGTGCTGTGCTTGGGGACAGAATTCTGACACCTGTTTGTTAAACTGGATGTACTGCATTGACTTGCAGCAATCTGGCCACGCTCAGGAGCCCGCCAATATTGCAGCTTGCCATGAGGTTCACTATGAGAGTTAAGTTCGGAAATCTTGTTAGTGTCCTTTGGGTAGGACGTGGATCATCTGAGTGGGAAGGGTGGGAGAGGGACATGACAGGATTCTGAGCAGTCCATTACTTGCAGGTTGCCCCCCCCCATTTGCCAATGCTGCCATGTTCTCTGCCATTATCTTATAGGGCTCACAACTACGTGGTCGTCATAACAGAAGTGTGCATTTTTCTTTTATCTTTAGTCTCTCTCCTTAGGGAAAACCATCAGTGTTGTGTCTTTTCCCAGGAAGATACTGTCCAGAATCTTTTCCCAAAGGAGCAGAGCTCTGATTCATTTTTTAAAATTGCTTCAGCATTATTTTGTTTCTACCCTTGCTACTGCTCGTAAAAATCAGTTGAGAGCACTTGAAAGGACAGCCCTCATGGCTGTTTACTCTCTTGGCTATGACTTTGCTCCCCCGTCCTCTAACCATGCCCAGTTTGAAGCTGGCCCTCCAACACAGCTTTCATTTCCCAACTGCACTGCGCTAAGGGATACTTACCATCCTTCCATCAAAGTGTGCTCTAGTACGAGGACAGTACCAAGTCCTTTGTCAGCTGCCTGGTTTTGTGTTCTTCCCTTACCCACTGTTAACCAGGAGTGTCTAAAGACACAACATTCTACCCTTTTGTGGCAGTGTGACCACTGTTGAGTGGTGGACACTTTCAGGGTCTACTTCTGGATGCTCCCCTTTCTATGGTTTTCTCCTAGCATGAACACTGTAAGTGGTACTCAAACCTGTAAACTTGAACTTGACCAGTTAGTTAGGCTTTGGATTCCACCTTGATGACACTAAACTTTAATTATTGTCATATAGGAAATCTACATCTCCTCATCAGAGGCCACGGGAACACTCTTATCATCATGTACAGCGGCGAGGTCTTGAAAATCTTCTGGAAGGTTTGCATCTTCTTGGGAGAGCCGGTCACTGCGCTTAGCAACCAGCGCCTCAATCTTCTGCTCCTTTTCTGCTAACACTTCTTCGAGCTGAGTGATCTTCTCAGTTTGCAGGGAAAGCTGGGTGGACAGCTCCATAATCAGGCTGATCTTTCTGTCCCCTTCTTCCACAGGTGGGAGACCTCCATAGGGCACTTCGACCGAGCTGGATGCTGAAACAAAAGACAAACAAACACAAGAGGAAAATGATTTTCACCAGCGTTTCCAGAACTCGGAGAGGGAGGATGAAAGCGTTTCATTTCTCACGTTCTTGAGAGGCAGCCCAGATGTTCCGTCATCCGGTTAGACATACTGAGAACAGAAGCTAGACCCCGTGAGGGGAACGATTCCGGGTGCTTGTGAAAGAACTTGGAAGTCTCTGGAGAGGGACCAGAATCACTCCGTGTCAACTCTTAATTTTGTTTTTTTATGTGCATTTAACTTTCAACCAACTGTGGGAATAAGCCGACCTTGAAAGACAAACCCCAGCAAGAGCCACGCCAAGCTTCATCTTTTCCTTTCCCCCAAAGAATCATTCACAAGAGGAATGACTTAGATACAGGAAAATACACTTGAAATTAGATGTTTATGTGTCTGTACAGGAACAACAAACCTTGCCATTTCTCCTTTTGGGGGAGATGGCCATAGAGAAAGACTACCTTCCTAGTCCAAGCTTCAGAGTTGCCAGGAGTATCACTTGAGCCCAAACACGGAACTGTTTGCATGGGCTCCATCACAGAGGCTCAGTTCTTTTAGGCTGGCCAGCATTTTAAAATAATACTGAGCATCCTCTAGAACATCAGAGTTTATCCAGTGTCACGGCCCTTGGTGAATCTCTGGGCTAAGGGTGAAGAATGGTTGATATAATATAACTGAGAGCCCCTGGCTTTCTCTATCCTCCAGTGGAGACAAGCCCGAGGACTGCATCTGCTACACTACCAGTCATGGATAAACAGACTTTCTACACAAGCCAGGACTCATGCCTGTATTTCTAGCATTCAGAGCATAAGAGAGGAGCACTGCCATGAGTTCTAGGCCAGTTGGGCATATAGAGTGAGACTCACTGCACACACACACACACACACACACACACACACACACACAGACACACACCTACTACTCCTGTAAAAACCCATCCCTGTTATTCTCTGACCATTGGCGCTTCCTTAAAGGATCTCAGGTGGACTCAGGTGGAAGCTTGAGCACCTAAGGCGCAAAGATGTGCAGCATCCTTGGGGGTCACAAACGTGACAAGGAGACACCAATCCATTCTCCAATCTTAGAAATTATGATTGTCAAATTGCTAAAATTTTAAGACTATCTGGGAAACTTCAGTTCTCATTATGAGAAAACCTAATGCTAGTATCGAAGAGTGTGATGATTTGTTCATCTCTCTTCAGTTTAAGAGCAGCAAAGGGAGTGGGGTAGGCACTCAGTGGTCTAGAGCTCATAGGACTCATCTGCATACGTGTCTGGGGGCTCAAAACTCCCTGCAGCTCCAGCTCCTAGGGGTCTAACACCGTCTTCTAGCCTATACAGGCATTGGCACACATATGATGTAGATTCACACAGAGAGACAGGTGTAACACACACACACTAACAAAAAATTAAAAATAATGTATATTTTTCTTTTAAAAAAAGAATAGTTAAAAGGTATTACAATTTAAAGAATTATTTGGTTCATGGTCTCTGTAGAAGGCATATGGCCTCCAGTTCAGGAGAAGCTATCCATACAGCAGGGGGTTTTTCTTACTTGCTGACATACCAGGGCCCTCCCTTTTACATCTGGCCAGACCTGTGCTGGCAACGACAGTAACTACACATGCCTGATAAGCAACTGAATGCCACTATTATAAGTTGAGATATGCGATCAACATGAAAGTCATTAATTTGGGAACACTTAGCTTGGAAAAATGTGAACTGTCTCATTATCTTTCATTGATTATTATTAAAGTAGTAGTATTTTGGCTATCTTGCAACAGAAAAAGCATAATATTGAGATTTCTTTCATTCACGGACTCTAACTTTAAAAGTGCAGCTCCTAGGAAGCTTAGATCACAAGGTTTGAGTTTGTGAAACTCTCCTATTCCCGTGGAGCACCGCTGGGCAGGCCTTTCCTGCAGGTGAAATCCGGGCGGCTGGGGAACTTGCAGACTGTTTCTCTGCTCAGCCCTCACAGTCGTTATTTGGGAGGGAGCATTGGTCACTCTCAATGGACCGTTTTTCCGTGTCCCCTGTGGGCTGAGGCAGGAAATACAGGTTTGCTATGGGTTCTTCTGGGCTGAAGGAAGGTTCAGCAGTAGTGAGAGAGTGAGCTGGGAATGGGCAGCAGGGAAGTGGGTGGCAGAGGTTGCAAAGAAGAGTGGCAGCAACCTGGGGTGGAGAAGCCGAGCTTGGGAGCCTGGGGTGGAGAAGCCAAGCTTGGCAGTCTAGGGCGGAGAAGGCATCTCTGGAGCTCCAGATGGTGGCCCTTGGATTTGGTTGGCTGCTACCACTTTCCACTTTGACCCCTCTGTCAGATTTTTCTCCCCACCTTATCTTTAAACTGATATGCGAAATGCAAAACCAGAGTGCAGGATCGGTCCAGAGGATACACGGGTCTAGCGCGCGTTCTTTTCTTTCCTGATCCCCTCACCCTCTCTTTCTTTCTAAGACAAATTAGAGTTGATACAGTAAAAAGTTAGACAGTCTGAAGAGAACCGGAGTGCGCAGCATTGTATACAGATGGATACCTTGGTCGCCTGCTTCTAATGATAAAGGGGGAAAACTGCGACAATGGGAGGCCTTACCTTGGTGACATTAGATAGTATATCTGTATTCTTGCTCTGAGAGAGAGAGAGAGAGAGAGGGAGAGAGAGGGGGAGAGAGAGAGAGAGAGAGAGAGAGAGAGAGAGAGAGAAGAGAGAAATGGAGGGTAACAGTGGGCTTCAGATGTTGCAACAAAGCATCACACACTAGGTGTCTCAGGCAATGGGCATTGTTTGTCATAGTTTCCAAGGTGGGACATTCTAGGTCAGGATGGGTTGGCTCTGTGAAAGCCTTCTTGGCTATAACGGTCTCTTTCATATGTCCGTATGATGAGGTGAGAGACTGTCTTTTTGTCTTTGACGCAGGGTCTTATAGGTAGCTCAGGTTGTAATAAAACATGTGATTCTCCTGCCTCTGCCTCCAAAGTTCTGGGATTACAGGAATGTGCAGTCACACCCAAAAAGTATTTATTTTTATTCTTAAATTTTATGTGTATGGGTATTTTAACTGCATGTCTGTCTGTGTACTATGTACATACAATCTCTGCAGAGGTAAGAAGAGGGTCCCCTGGGACTATGGTTGCAAATCAATGTGAGCTGCCATGTGGGCGGTTGGAATTGAACCCTGGTCTTCTGGAAGAGCAAACCACTCTCTTAACTGTTGAGTCATCTCTCCAGCCACCAGTGACTGTTCCTAAGGGCAGTAATACCACCATAGGGTCCTATTCTCAACCTCATCTAAGCCCAATTTCCATCCATTTTGTTGTCCTGCTGGAAGGTGGCCTTTGACATAGAATTTTTGGAAAGGCGTAATTTGATCTGTGACCCAGGGAGCTCACACTTAGAAAAAGAGTAGACAAGCACTAGGAAGCCGAGAAAAGGGGAACTGGCAAGACCTCTTAAGATCTGCTCCCTGCTGTGTCTTAGAACGAAATGAAGATGCTGAAGGTGGGTACGTTTGCCAAAAGGGGAATTTCTTACATGAGTAACTTTATGGTTAGGCAATCTCGTTAGACATATAACAGAAAAAATATCTGCTCCATTTCTTGGTTGGGATAAACATGTGCTATGGTGTACATGGATAGTGATATTTTATTTGTGTTTTATAAATAAAGCTTGCCTGAAGACTAGAATGTAAAACTAAGCCACTAGAGTCCAGGCAGTGGTGTCCCACTGGATTTAATCCCTGGATTTGGGAGACAAGGCAGATGGATCTCTGTGAGTTCAAGGCCACCGTGGGCTACACAAGATCCAGGAGGTGGTGGCTCATACCTTTAATCCCAGTACTAGGGAGTCACATGCCTTTAATCTTGGCACTAGAGAGGAATATAAGGTGGGACGAGACAGGCGCCCACTTTCTTTCAGTCTGAGGATTTCTTAGTGGTAAGAGCTCTCTACTGGCTGATTGCTTTGCTTTTCTGATCTTCAGGTTGAACCCCAATATCTGTCTCTGGGATTTTATTATTCATACTCCATACATGTGAAGGAAAGAGGACCTCAGCTGCAGTTGCTTGCCATCTACTGTGTTTGAGCCAGGGTCTCGTTGTTTGTCACCATGCTGTGTAGTCCACTAGCTAGCCTGGGAGCTTCCAGAGACTGTCATGTCTTTGTCTCCCATCTCATGGGGAGTGCTGGGATTACCCAGGTTTGTTCTACATGGGTTCTGGGAAGCGCTCTACCCACTTAGCCATCCTCCCAGTCCCCTACTTGTCCAAAATGGCAAAACCTTTAAAAACTCTTCCCCAAAGTGAGGGAACTTACACCCTAGTTGTCTTGAAGACGGTCTCAGGCCGCACTGGGTTGTTTTTTGAACTCAATTATTAATCATTGCTTTTCCTTCCCCTCAACAGTAATCCCTCCTTTGTTACAAGACAATATTCTTCAAGGCCCAGACAGCTTATTACATGTCCCAAATTTCAAACTCTTGCCATCTTCCCCAGACTTCTGCCGGCAGATAGATAGGCCCACCAACAAAGTCATGGCTGCTTGGACATGGAGGGTCTGCCATCTGACCAGGTAACTAAGGTTTCATTCCATACCGAGAGTTTCCAAGACAGAGACAGCCACAGGCAAGGGCCTGTCTACCCGTGAGGAAGTCACAGACATGACTAGCCACAGCTGGAGTATGAACCTACCACACGCACAGGAGCTTCTGTGAGCACACAGCCGCTTTCATGATCACCCCTGTTTCTGCCTACATTTAAAATAGAGGTGAATGGGCTGGGACTATAGCTCCTTGATAGAGAGAATGCTTTCCTGCATGCACAAGGCCTCGGACTCAATTCTCAGCCCCGAAGGGGCAACAAGACATAAAAGAGGAATAAAGCTGAGAGCTAAAGACTGCAGCAAAGAGAAGATGAGACAGTTTATCACCTGGGTGTGAACTCTCTCCCACAGGTCCCAGTGTTGCATGCTTGACCGGCAGC